ACTGTACCTTCCCTCCTCCACCAAAAGAAACCTGTTTTTGTTTTTGTTTTGTTTAGTTTTTTTTGTTTGTTTGTTTGTTTGTTTTCCTTACCCTTGTAAAATATGAGCACTTCTTTCTCTCCATCTGTTCTCCCCTCCCCTCCCGGAGGGAAATAGTAATGTAGCCATGCACCATTTTTTCTGCTTGCTGTTTCACTGAACCAGTAGTCTGGAGAAGAGAGACTTAGTACAGAGGGGCCACACCATTTTACAGTTGTATGAACTCTGTTGTTGTGTGTCTGTACCATACTTGGTTCAGTCTGTTGCCTGCTGATAGACATTAGGGTTGCTTTTTTGGAAGCAATTGTTCTAGGGATGGCAAGGTGAACATCATTCACCTTTGCAAGTGAGAGTAGGATTTGATTGGCCAGAGGTTTGCTGTTCCTATTGGACTACTCACCACTGTTCCTCTTGGTTCAGTTTTGCAGAGTTCTACATTTTCTGGAAAGGGAAGGGGGTACCTCCCGTCCATCTTGGTTATTCCGTTAGCATCTGGCACAGTCCGAAGCCATAATGACAGACCAGAGGGCTGGGTATTGCCAGAGGCTTTCCAAGTGCTGCATCCAGAGTCCCTGTAGAGTCTTCCTTTGAAATACTCTGTAAACCGGTTCCTAGTTGTCAGGACTTGGCTGCAGGAGGCAAGCATGTGAACGTAGGGGGCTGTGGAGCCATTGTGGGCCTTGGCTGCTCCTAGAGCGAGGTGGGGGGCAGTGGACACCTCGTAACAGAGTTTGGTTAGTTGATGGCAGACTTAATTCATGGGAGCCACAATTTCTCACAAATCATGCCTTTTCAGAGCTTTCCTTTGTAAAATCTGCTTTTCGTGATCTGCTGTGAGTTAGCCTGCTCCTTGGGGGATGGGGGTGTAAAGAATCCTTTTCACTGGGGCTGTAATCCAGAAATTCAAATAAGGACCATACAGAGAGAAATATAGTTGATTCACTGAGATTTACATGATACTCCTCAAAGTAAGTATGCCTTCCTTACAAGAGAAGTTTATTCTAACTGGATGAAAGGTGAGTTCCTAATTGATGTAAAGAAGAAGAGGCAACTCTGAATCCAGCTGCTTTTGTGGTCATTCTGGGCCACGTTGCTCCAGAGCCCATGTCCCCTGGAGTGTCACCTTTTAGACAAGAAAATAAGTATCTCTGGGTTTCAGGAAGTGTCACACAGACACTTGAAGCTATAATGCTGGACTTCCTCAGCCTTCCTTCCCATGTGGACAGGAACCTTAGCATCTGTGTTTCTATAGGAATGTTCATTAGGCACATCTGTTTTTAACTTCCTGATATCCGACAGTAGGTATTTTTAATTCACTTCATGTAGAATCCATTCATTCCGCAAATACTGATTTATTGAGTGTACTTTTTGTTCCAGTGTCTTCCTCGGCCTTGAAAGTATATACTGATGTCAGTGAGTGAACAAACAACACCTGCCTCCATAGAGCTTCCATTTAGTCAGCGACACAGACAAACAAAAAGATTGTGTAAACCCCGTAGCTTACCACAAGGTGAGAGGTGCCTTACAGAAATAAAATGGAGAACGGGGAGAGGAAGGACAGTTTTTGTAGGAATTGAACATACAACAGTGTCATTAGGAACAAAAACTATACTTTCTTTTTCTTTCTTATTCTGTTTTTGTTTTTGTTTTTGTTTTAATTAACACAGCATTTGGATAGGCAATCCTTAACAAGCTGTTCGTTTTTGATTATAGACATGTAGCAATCCAGGGACTGTGACCCATTCATTCTTAGACATCCTGGACATTGGTACGTGCAGGAAATCGTGCAGGAAATGGATTTCCTGCCCTTTGCTTTTCCCTGTAGAAACTAAGGCAGTGCGTTTCCCGTCTATAAACTAGGACTGACGTGTCCCACCTGCCTGTCCCTGAGGCTGCAGGTCAACGTCAGATACACACTCGTACATCCGGTAAGTGAAGCTTTGCTGAGTTAGAGCATCATGCTTGTTACTAGTTAAGGAACAAGAACTTAAAAGTTGTAATTCTGCTTCATAACCCAGACAATGTTCCTGTGGTGTATCTTCTGCCTTTGTGACACTGGTACCAGGTTAAATCTTGGAGAGTATAATCCAAAGAGGCGTATGTGGCGATGATTTTAAGCCCGTTAGAGGCTCACGGTGCTTCTTTGATACTGTGTTTCATGGGTTCTAAGATTTTTTTTTTTTTAACTTCTTGGGAGGGGGTGTGGTCAGCAGATGGGTGATTGACATGTGCCTGTCGCTGACACACCACAGATTGGAAGATGCACCCCGATGCAGGGAGGTTAGCAGGTGAAAACAATTATTACTTAAATAGAGAATATGTGGTTTTTACTTCGTAAGTGACTTTTGTTGAAGTTTTAAAACTATCCCGGTGAGTTTTCTGAAGCTCTGTTATGGGAAAAGGAAAAAGGTAAAGTGAGTATTTTTTTTGCTCTTAGAGTTCAAGTTTGGGTGTAAATAAGGTTTTTCTTTAGGACACAAGTGAGAGCCTAGTTGGGGGATGAGCTTGCTGGTGAGTCTCAGGGGACTCTTCCTTAGTGCTGCCAGCTTGGGGGGAATCTGGATGACAGGCGAAGCAGAACAGAGGCGGTCAGGACTCCTCACACTTGGCATTTACTTCTCGGGGAGCAGAATGGCACTTTCCCACACGAGTGTCTTTGATGGGCGGTTTTGGGTTCAACTTTTGGCGCCCATGGTGGCGCGTATAGCCTTGCTTGCTTTGTGAGATACGATGACCCAGAGGGAGGAGTTGATCATGGGTCACAGTCATCTCGTCTCTCTGCTGAATCAAATATTGTTTTGCATTTAAAAAGTTCAGAATGTTGGCCCAGGAAGATGTTAGATGCTATTCTCTTTACTGAAAGTGGGGTGAATGTTTTCAGCCAAATATCCTAGTACATTTTTAAGAACTCAAATTTCTGTATGTGGATCTGCAGTATTTTTGACCAAGGAGATTGATTCTCTTTTGAAAAGTATCAAAGATGTTGGGAGACCAAAAAAAAAGAAAAAAAATACTGAAGTTGTTGCCTGTCTTATCCTGGGGATAAGCGGTAATCCCCCAAAATACCATTGGCCCTCATTAGTATTACCCTAAAAATACTGTCTGATATTTCAGAAGGTTACTTGGTGATGACATTCTGGCATTTATAACAGTACTGCTTCTTACTTTTAATAGTACCTTTTGTTCATAAAGAAGCTTAGGAACCATCATTCAGTTGTCCTTCTGCACATTTTTGCTACTTTAGAGAGAATTAAAGCTACTAGTGTGAAAAATTTTGTAAGTTCTTGTCAGGGCAAAGTACCCAGATTGTGACCATGTGGCATAGCCCCCTTGTCTTTTTTTTTTTTTTTTTAATTTCACTTGTTTATTTTAAGTAATCTCTACACTAAATGTGGGACTCAAACTCATGACCCCGAGACCAGGAGTTCTGGGCACTTCTGACTGAGCCAGCCAGCACCCCTCCCCCCATCCTTATTGAAGCTTTAGTATCTTTAATTATAAAGCTGGAATGATAAAACCTCTTAATGCGGTCGTCATGATGTTGAAATCTGAGCCCGCATGTTAAGGACTGGAATCCATATGTAGCATGTATCAGTGGCTATGATTTAGTATTGTTCCCATTTAATACTTGAATTACTGGATTTGTAAATAACAACACTTTTCTGGATTGCATGACCAAATAGTACATGTGGATCATTTTAAGTGTTCAGAATCAGAATTGAGTTTCATTATTGTTGAGAGGCACTATTAATCATTCTAGGAAATGGTAAAAACCCAAATTGGTGAAATGTGTTTTTAAAATTCCAACATCTTGTGCTGAACACTTCTTTGGCTTTTCTAAAAAGAAAGAATCTGGCTTTCTGTTGTTAGTGTTTGTTTGCTTGCTTTTTAATTTTACCTCTGCTGATGAAGTAAATAAGATGAGAAAATAATTAAGAGTTTCATGTTGTGACTTGAAGTTTGAGATCTTACTGCGGTTCCTCTGAAGACAGATAGATGATCAGAGCTGTAAAACTAAGGAAGGATCTGCTTGGGAAGGCTAGATTTTCCTTCTCTGTTGTAATTTGTGAAAACAGTGAGAGAAGTAATAAAATATATCTAGAAATTTCACCAAAAATGTTGAGTGATACCAACAGACTTCATTAGGATTTTCAGTGTGTTAATGAGGGCCACACCTGCCTGTCACCCGAGGTTTGTACTTAGTATGTGACATAATTTTTCTAAACACCTTAAGGTAACTTAGTTCTGTTGTAACATTCTCAAATGCCAATCAGTCTCTGTGTGTGTGTGTGTGTGTGTGTGTGTGTGTGTGTGTGTGTGTGTCTGTGTGTGTGTGTGTGTGTGTGTGTGTGTGTGTGTGTGTGTGTGTGGCTTTGTGTGAGAGGTTGGTGAAGCTTGACTGCTGGGGTCAGGTACTGCCCTGGAACAGGGAAGATGCCCTAGATCCCAGATTATAGAAAGTCACCATCCAGGATAACGTTTGGAGACCATTCTGTCTCTTTCTTGCAAGACCTACAACCCAGTTTGGTTGAGAGCTTAGCATGCTGGGGAGGGCAGGATGGGGGCAGCTTGGGGGAGAACAAGAGGTGAGGTGTGGGGAGGCGCTGGTTTAAGGTGAATGAAGCACATATGTGTGGAAATGTATTCCCTGCAGACGTAAAGTTAAAGAAAGCAGGAAGCACGCAGGAAGACAAAGACAGGGCCTTCTGTGATGGCTTCCCAGGTGACAGGCAGCACTCAGACATGTTCTTCTTCAGAATCCCAGGAGGGGATGAAGTAGCCCATCCACGTCTCTGCCAAAGCAAGGGCTCTTGCCTTTTGCTCCATCCTTCCTGGCCATGCAGTTGGTGGAGGGACAACGTTACATGAGTGGTTCGGTGACGACGATGGACCTCCGGTGGCATGAAGAGTCCTGTCCTCTCTGTTTCTGTCTAAGTGTGCTCCAAATGTTTGTTTTTCAGGTGGCAGAGATAAACGTGGAGGTCCCATTTTAACGTTTCCAGCCCGCAGCAATCATGATAGAATACGACAGGAGGACCTCAGGAGACTGATTTCGTATCTAGCCTGTATCCCTAGGTAAGTTCCGTGTGGTTCGTGGTTACTCAGTGTTGCCACCGTCCCAAGACATGTGACTTGAATTCCAAGCAGACGAAACAGTACAGAACTAAAATCATGATCTTTCTCCCTTTTTATTTTAAAGACTCTGGTTTTTTTTGTTTTTTGTTTTTTGGTTTTTTTTTTAACATTTGTTTTTGAGAGAGAGCGCACAAGCAGAGGAGGGGCAAAGAGAGAGGGGGACAGAGGATCTGAAGCGGGCTCTGCACTGACAGCAATGAGCCCCGTGTGGGGCTTGAACTCACGAGCTGTGAGGCGATGCATGACCTGAGCTGAGGTTGGATGCTCAGCTGACTGGGCCACCTAGGTGCCCCTTGATCTTTCTCCTTATTTCCATTTTGTGACCATTCTGTCCTGTATACAGCACTTCTGGGTGTGGAGATGAGAAGCATGTGTCTTGCTTGAAGAGCTTCGTGTGGAGGTGATGGAGTTGGGACGCCCACGAGGCTGGGATTAGGATGTGGTGCTGGAGGTGGACGGTCATCGGTGAATCTGGTACTAGCACGCAGTGTGCTGTAAGACCAGAAATGGAATGCTGTTTCTAAAAATGTGTTTGTGTTCAGGCTCAGCTTCAGGGCTTTTTTTTTTTTTTTTTCTTTTTTCGAAGTTAATTTATTTATTTTGAGAGACAGAGGGACAGAGTGAGTGTGTGTGAACGGAGGAGGGGCAGGGAGAAAGAGAATCCCACGCAGGATCCACGCTATTAGCATGGAGACTGATGCGGGGCTCGAACTCATGAACTGTGAGATCATGACCTGAGCCGAAATCCAGAGCCAGATGCTTAACTGACTGAGCTACCCAGGTACCTGTGAGCTTCAGTTTCTTTCTTAAAAGTATTCTCTTGATTTTGTGGCATGATGTTTGGTGGGGCTTTAAAAATCTTTACCAGGTGATATGCCACGTTTGGGAATCCCCATTCAGTTGGAGACCCCATTAGTGATAGGGTGGTTTAGTGTGGATTCTGAAGAACACTATGAACAGGCAAAGCTGTATTTTCCAGGTGATTTTTTTTGGAAAAAGAATACCGCTGTGATATAGTCCAGGGATTTAGGCATGTCTGCAGAAAAGAGATTGCGTGTGTTTGGGTTGGAGGGGTGTTTCCCTGTGAGGAAAAGGAAAGGCATGTGCTAAAAGGGGCATAATCAGCGTGCTGGGATACGAGGAGGCCAAACGAGGACGTGTGGAGGAGAACTCGGTCATTATATAGGCTACAGTAGACAGTCACGTTAATGAACGTGTTATGCAAGAGAATGATGAGAGCTGGTCAGTAGCAGCGTCAATGGGGTCTCAAAGGTGGAGGTGACTGTCATGGATCTGCCACAGCACGTGGGTTGGGACACTCCTGGCCTATTTAGGTTGACACCAACAAAGGAAGACAGCAGTGCCCATTTGTAACCCATCCTTGCTGTGGCTGAGGAAAGTCAGCTTTTGCTGTTGACGGTCTGGCCTGCTGAGGAAGTTGGTGGGTTTTCCGGTTTGGGCGTCCTTTATGAGACAGCAGTCACTTTGCATCATCAAGGACAAAGTGATGTATGGAAGAACTCACTCTTTCCTCCTACTCTGGTATTTTCTTGGGCTGTTGAACTGTTGACACCGTGAGTTAGAAAGGGGTTTAGAAGTTTTGGTCTACTCGCTATCATTTATAAATAGCGCTTACAGTTGACGAGCACCGTTTACGGAGTTCTTCTGTGTGCTCGGTGCTGGACTCATGGTGGAAGAAGAAACAAATTCAGAGGACGGTGTAAAAAATAAATCTCTGCCAACCAAAGTGATACTCATCACATAGTATAATAAGAAAGCTGAATTTGGCATATATCCAGCGTAGTTTTGAAAACATTAACATAGTGGAATGGCTGTGTGTAACTTTGGCAACTTGCTATCTGGTTTTAAAATCTGTGTCGATTGTAAATATTAAAATTGGTTTTATTTCACTGACATTGTAAAAAAAAAAAAAAAAATTGATCCACGTGTATTTTGGATCATCTGCATGACCCACCTAAACCTACCAAACTTGGTCGTGGAAAATTGTGAGCGTATACAAAAGTAGTGAGAATAGTGTAGTGAGCTCCAGCTTCAGTGATGATCAGATTTTGTCAGTCTTGTTTTTCTCTGACCCTCCCCCCCCCCCCCAGAATATTTTATAAAAAAACCCAAGAATCCTGTCATTTCACTTACAGATACTGAAGCGTATTGAAGGGTGAACCTTCTGCTGTTGAGCACAGTCACTTTTATTTCATTGCCTGGGTTTGCTTTTGTATTTACGATTCCCAGTGACAGGAAACATCCTTTGCCTGACTTGGTAAATGATGAGATAAGTGGGATGAACGTGTAAATGACCCATTTCTCAAGTGATAGTGGGCAAATTTCACAGTGGTCCAAATAGAGAAAGGGGACAAAAAAATGAGTCCTCTGTGCCCCTTGCGTGGGTCTACCCAGACCAGACATGAGCTGCTCTGTCTCCCTGGAGTGCTGGGTAGCAGGAACATTGTTCTGGTTTAGCCAAACAGGAGGGTCCATAAAACCACTCTCAGACTAACGGTGTGCAGATTTTTTCCACTGGTGGGTTTGCTTGTGTTTAACTCTGATTATCTGTTGCTATAGTTTCAGAGTGGCATGAATCATTCTGGGAGTCGTGAGACTTCTTTTACCTGTCCGTTACTCCTGGTGGTTTCTGGGATGTGAAGGTAGCTACCATTTGCTGTCCCTCAAGCTGGGCAGTCTCAGGGCCCTGCATTCCCGGATGTGGAGAAGTGTGCCATCCAAACGGCACGGGCAGCAGAGTCGGACCAGCTGTGACGTGTCCCAAGCACATTACTTTTATCAGTTTTCTGATGTACAGAATGTGGTAGTAACGTGGGATCATTGTGAGTAATGATGAGGATACTTAACGTCCGTGCCCAGGGCAACGCCTGACACAGGGTCGCTACCTCAGAAACAGTCCGATAATCTCCATCATCTCTACACACTCTTCCGTTTTCCTTCCTTTATTTTTCGTTTGGATGTGTGCTCTAGAGCTGGGTTATCTTGTTTTCCTTCTGCACGTGCCTCTTAAAAGGTGGCCCTCGAAGATCAACACGAAGTGAGCTGAGCAGTGCTGAGGAGTTTGAGGATTACTTGGGTCACCTTCTCTGCCCTTCCTCCCCCCCCCCTTTTTTTTTTATAAGCAATTGAAGTAATAGAGTAAATGTCATGGAATTAGTTTGCAAGGAAATTTTCCATTAACTGTGTGTAGGAGAAACAAGTCTCACTAGAAATTCTTGCTGGTATAATTGGGATTCCCACACAGTGATGAGAATAACCTCAGTCTTGGTACATCTCTAGGTGTTTATTGCTCTTATTGTTTGAAATACACGCAACTAATTATGTTCTAGATCGTCTTACCTTCTTTAGAATGATTTATAGTGGCTCCATGGATAAGTCACCTCAACTCTCTTGTAACTGGTGAAGTAATATGAAGACTTTTGACTGATTCATTCATGAACATTCACATAAAAAGCTACTTTCTTCGTCTAGAAACTGAAGAGCGTTTCTCTCTTTCAGAGACCAGCATTGAAAAGGGACCTTAGTTGTATCTAAAATTGCCTTATCTCACAGATAAAATGAGGCTCTTAGGTGAAACTGCTGAAGTAACTGGTTGACAGCCGCACTTTCCCATGAGCGCTGTCTTCCGGGAAGGGCCGCGTGGACCCCTTCCCTTGTACACAGCCGCCCGCATTGGTTAGCTGCTCATAAATACACCTGGGTTCGGGAGCCTGCAAATCTTCCTTTCTTTTTTTCCTTTTTTTTTTCTCTCCATGTTTGTTTTGAGAGAGAAGAGAGAACGAGTTGGGGAGAGGCAGAGAGAGAGGGAGAGAGAGAATTCCAGGCAGGCTCTTCACTGGAGACGTGGAGTCCGATGCGGGTCTCGATCTCAGGAACCGTGAGATCATGACCTGAGCCAAGAACAAGAGTCAGATGTTCAACTGACTGAGCCACCCGGGTGCTCCACAAGTCACTGCTTTCTTAATAAGGACTGGCTTTTAACTGGGTAAAGAGACAGATTGTAAGGATGTGCACTCCCAGCCCAGTTCACGTGCTGTTTCATTACTTGAAAAGCCACTGGGTGGTTGGTTTGATTGTGGAGGAGGGTGGATAGCGAGTCCTTTTGTAAACTGGGCCAGCTCAAGTACCTTCTGGTTGTGGTGTTCCCTGACTTGTTCCTGTCGTTGAGCTTGGAGTTACTCCGGATTCCCTTTCAGCCCCTTTCAAGCGGAGGGTGCGGTTTTCTGTGCACGCTGCGTAGCGCTCTGTGAGGAGAGGCACAGGCTGCCGGAGAACTGGCCCTGATGTGGTGAGGGCCGATGCCCCGAGGGCAGCCAGGCAGATGGCACCCACTGAGGCCCAAAGGGCCCGGCTGCACTGCACAGTCGCCCTCCTTTGTTGTGTGGCTGCAGGTAGAGCGTCCGCAGTGGGATGTCCCTCTGGGGCAGGCTCCCTCTGCTCAGGCAGAGCCCGAAGAAGTCCGGAATGCTCCCGGTGACTTGGGAGATTTTGGGAGACATTTCTGGAAGCCCCGTTTGCTTCTAGGATTTGTGAAGGAGGCCTGTGCTGTTCTCTCGTTTGTGGCCCGGGACCTACTTGAGACAGGGAAACATGATACCAGGAGGGTCGTGTGAGCCGAGTGTTAACTCATTAGGAGTTTTTATTCACGTGCAGTTGTAGACGGAAGTGCATCAAAGCATTCCTAGCAGTTTCCACCTCTGAGTGAGAAGCTAGGCCGCTGATCAGCCTTGTCATCTCTTGGTGGATTTCCACACCATGTTTCTGGGGCCTGTGCCACCACCCACGCAGGGTGTGTCTCCACAGACTGTTTGGAATGTTTTGTGACACGCCTGTTACATGGATGTAGCTGTGACAGGAACTTTGCATCTGTGAAATTGGGAACAATGGCTACTCTGATGCATCAAGATAAGGAAAGGAATGGTGTCTACACGCACACGTTCATGTGGGGAGGGGGAGGGGAAGGTAGAGGATGAACTTATGCAGTAGAACATGAAACTGGTTTTTTTGTTTGTTTGTTTGTTTGTTTGAGAGAGAGCGCAAGCAGGGGAGAGGGGCAGAGGGCGAGAGAGAGTGTGAAGCAGGCTCCACGCTCAGCATGGAGCCCGACTTGGGGCTCAATCCCACGACCCTGGGATCATGACCTGAACCAGTATCAAGAGTCAGACGCCCAGCCGCCTGAGCCACCCAGGCAGCCCAGCAATTGGTTTTAGTTTTGACTTAATTTATTTTCGCTTTTTAACTTCACGTAAACGGTAGCAATTAGTTCTCTTGAGTTTTAATTTATGAACTGTAACTGTATGAATTTATAACTGTAAATGGTTACTAGTTTCTCAGGTGATTACCCGAGACAGAGAAATGTCAGGTGTCTTTCCTGTAGGCCCGTACGTTCACGTTGGGTGAAAACCCAAGTTAGTCACCGCGCAGTTGGGGTCGTAGGTGTGATTCCAGGTGACCTCAGCGGCGGTCACGATCTGGCTCATGTCTGACCGGGATCAGCCGCCTGCACGGACTGCGTGTGTCCACCACAAGACAGCTAGGATGACGGCCCTTCCGCAAGGGTGAGCCTGCTCCGAAGTCTCTGGAGAGCTTCCGCATGAACACCGGAGTTCTCACCGAGTGTGACTGAGGATTTGTAACCTATCTTCAAGGGCGATTTAACTCTGGATATTCTTTATTACAGAAGTGCATTACATATATTTCCCATGTACCCAGGGGTTGAGATTTAATAGAACTACTAATAATTATGAGCAACTGGCTTTTTTGTTTGTTTAAACTTGCCAGAATGCGGAGGGGAGTGCTGAGGGCTGGTATGTCACTGCTGCAACCCGGTGAAAAAGACAAATAAGTCTCAGTATCACCATGAAAATCTGTTTACCACCAAAACCCCACCAGAAGGGTGCCAAGGACCCTCAGGGAACCTCCGAGATAGCTCAGAGGCCTGAGCCAGTGAAAGGGGACAAAATGGGACATTGGAAAGTTCCAGTGCACTGGGATGGGTGGTTTCCATACCTGGGAGGCTCTTGCGACTGCTGTTCTTTGATCTGTGACCTTCCCCACCTGGGCTCTGTGCACCTGTCAGGGGTCTGTCCCCACTGGTGCTCACCAGGGACCTTTGCTGTAATAGTTACTAGACAATGGGTGCGATCACTTAATACACAAAAGACGAGAAATTCCCTCCCCACCAGCCCACCTGACCGTACGGAGCCCCACAGACAGGAGTCAGCCTCACCTGGTGGGACTCAGAGAAAGGGTCGCATGGCTTAAACCTATTTTTTCTTTCTCTCTAGTGAAGAAGTCTGCAAGCGAGGATTCACGGTGATCGTGGACATGCGTGGGTCCAAGTGGGACTCCATTAAGCCTCTTCTGAAGATACTGCAGGAGTCCTTTCCCTGTTGCATCCATGTTGCCCTGATAATCAAGCCAGACAACTTTTGGCAGAAACAGAGGACTAATTTTGGCAGTTCTAAATTTGAATTTGAGGTAACTTCCATGTGTAGCCAGACCAATTAAACCAATAGGTGTGGTTTCTTGAAAGTGGACTTTTCCTTCTCATTTTAGATATCAGATTTTTAAAGCCACATATTAAATGGGAGCTGCACATCTTGTTACATGTGGCATGTAAAATTAGTTATTGCGTAAAACAACAAAAATGGGTTCGTTTATCCCGTTATCGTACTGGATTATTTTTCCCAAGGGAGATACAGGCTCCAGTCCTCTTGGTTTTGGGTGGTGGGGCTGCTGAGGTACAGGGTGTGTAGCATAGGACAAGGTTCCCTTTTCGCCTGATAAAATAGCTTTACCTTCCAGTCCTGGTGGCTCTGTGTGGCCTCAGATTCATTGTCCTTGCCTCCGTCTTAGAAATAAGGGAACATCGTGGAGACATTCCCAGCTTCACATGTCCGGAAGAAACGGAGTTTTTACCTTGTCCTTGCTAAATGGAGAGAATGATCTGTTAGGTATTTCATATATCAGCTCTCTCATTTATGAGAAGGGAGATAGTCCTCTAAAAATGACACCGAGTGCCAAATTCAACAGCACATACGGTCGCGGTCTCCCAGACGGTCCACAAAACAAAAGCCTCAGCCTGTTGCTAATTTAACTTCCCTTCCCACTGACACCTCTCCTTCAGCTACCAAGGCTCTGACAAGGCTTTGGTGCAGTTCGTGTAATGAAATGGTTATGGGAAGAAAGTATTCTGGCCAGCTTGAAAATTGATTCATGCCCTGTTCTGTAATAGAGTGTTTTCTAATAAGATGTAATGATTTTTGGTTGAATAGATTGCTTCTCTTAGCACCTTTGCCCAGACAGTAGGTTTTAGTGATGTATTCATGTGTGTCGATAAGGTAAACAACAACAGTAGTATTAAGCACATCACACAGTATTAATTCTCAAGCTTTATGTTACCTGTTAACTTCTCAAAGTGTTTTCACATGGGTATTACTTACATTTTAAAATCTTCTTCCGTGGTACCGATTTTCAATCTGATATCTGAGTTTAGTTTTAATTTGAAACTACATTCAAGAAATTTAGGTAAAAGATGAAACCAGTAAGCCCTTATTTTCACACGGTAAAGAGTGATTTTGGATGACAGTTGATTGGGTCTTATTATTTTCTTAACACAGAATTTAAAGCAGGTTGTCTTTAATTACACACGTTTTAAGCAGAAATAACGGTTTAGCAATATAATGCGTGCACGTTTTTGCTGGTCTAATTTTGATCTCTCCTTCTGGGCCTTTAAAGTTACCTGTACCAGCTTTTCTACTGAGCTTATTGTCTCTACATTGTTACCAGCCTCGGCCTCTCTCTGTGAAGTGATTAGATCCGTGGGTGTTATTAAAAGTCTGAGCAAATGAGACAGGAATGAACCTACAGTCAATTGCAGGCCAGCACGCTGGGCTGGGAGCAGCCCGTCTTTCTAGCCCAGTTTGTTGCTCTTTGCAGGTTCTCATGCCAGCCATCCTGGAGTCGATGCACTCCTAAGTCTCTCTAAGGCCGGAGGTGACAGAGGTGGGGCTAAACCAGCCTTTCTCTGTTTTGTTTTTTGCTTCTAGGCCACAAATCTTTTTTTCCTTTCACTTTGTCTTTGCATTTCATGACTCCTCTCCCACTCCCTGTGTTTCCCTTGAGGCACGGTATTGGTAGTAACCCTGCAGCAGCATGTGGTATAGGTCGGGTGAGGTTAATCTGATTTTTGCTTAGATTGTAAAGGATGAAAACTTCGTCACTGTTAGGTTGGAAAGTACAACGCTTATACTAAGAACTGTGGCAGATCATTGCAATGAATGAAACTCTCCCTCTGTCTTTAGCTTTGTGACAGGAGTTTCCGCCCCCTTTCTGGCTACTTCTGTATATTCTGTAAAATTTAAAAAAGCCATTCATATCCTAGCATCCACTATGTGATGGGAGGTGAAGTTAGGACAGGGTGAGTGGTAATGGTGGTCCGGTGGGAGCGCTGTTTATCATTTAATGACCAGCTCACAAATCATTGTCCTGAGAGGGAGGACATTAGCTTGATGGTAGATAGGAGGAGGCCTCTACGATGTTTTCTGCTGGGAGTGAGGTGGTAGAGTGGTGTGCATGAGAAAGAGTGCATTGATGAAGTAAAATTGGTAAATCCTCTGCTCTGTTTTGCAATTTAAGACATTTCCTGGTAATTGTGCCTAAGGTAGTGGGTTAATTTCCACATTCTTGGAAAGAAATCCAGGCTCTTTAGCTCTCCTGAAATACATATCCTGTAATTTTAGGAGTTCTGACTAACGTGTTGCTCTACTAGATTTATCTTTCACTGACTATACTGGTAATGTTTCTTTCATCTACATTTATTTTTTATGGGGCCAGAACAAGGTATGTTTTCTATAGATTAAGTTTGAAAATCTCTGAGTAAGTATTGCAGATTGCATTATGATAAGGCCACGTAGACTTGGTTCATCTTCTCATACATGATTTTTTTTCCTCTTAAGACAAATATGGTCTCTTTAGAAGGCCTTACCAAAGTAGTTGATCCTTCTCAGCTCACCCCCGAGTTTGATGGCTGCTTGGAGTACAACCATGAAGAATGGATTGAAATCAGAGTTGCTTTTGAAGACTACATTAGCAATGCGACCCACATGCTGTCTCGGCTGGAGGAACTTCAGGACATCCTCGCCAAGAAGGAATTGCCTCAGGATTTAGAGGGGGCTCGGAATATGATCGAGGAGCATTCGCAGCTGAAGAAGAAGGTGATTAAAGCCCCCATAGAAGACTTGGATTTAGAGGGACAGAAGCTGCTTCAGAGGATTCAGAGCAGTGACAGCTTTCCCAAAAAGAACTCCGGCTCGGGCAACGCGGACCTGCAGAGCCTCCTACCCAAGGTGTCTGCCATGTTGGACCGGCTGCACTCAACTCGGCAGCACCTGCATCAGATGTGGCACGTGAGGAAGCTGAAGCTGGACCAGTGCTTTCAGCTGAGGCTGTTTGAACAGGATGCCGAGAAGGTAAAGGAGCAGGGAGAGGGAAGCTAAAATGAAGCCTGGAGGGGGAGGCCTCCTGGCTCACTGGGGCCGGCAGCCAGGGCCGCCTTGGTCGGGAGAAAGGGCCAAGGAAGGGTAAGCCACTCTCACGGCGTTGTTTCAGAACTCGCCAAGTGTCACTTCAGAGATCCGCCCTAAGTCTCCCTCCCTGTTTTCCTCCTTGGGCGGGCCCGTGCTATTTTAGGAACTCTGAGTTATTAATTACTGGCAGTTTGCTTTAGGATAACCGTAGGATGAATGAGAATGGTATCTCGAGTTAAAAGAGTGAACATTTTATAGAATTAGGTTATTGAAAGCGATAATTGTGTACGTGTTTTGCTAATAACTGCTCTTCACTCCTCTCTAGGTAGTGACAGAACACCGTTCAGATCTATCACTGAGTATGTTTTTAAAATAAAAGATGAATAATGTGTTAAAAATAATGGCTTCTGGGAAATATGGGCAGTGATTACTGACGGTCTCCTTTTATTCTTGTGCTCCAGACAAAATAACCCGTCCAAGCAAATGTTTGTGTTACAGGCTCAGTCTTAGCAATGTGGAAACACTTATTTATAGGACTGTGTTGTAAGCCATGAATATGAGTGAATTGATCTCTCTTAATTTGAGCCCATTGAATTTTTTTCATGGACAGGAGAATATTTTTAAAGCAAAAACCAAAAACAAAAAACGGTATCACAAACCTTTGTTTCAAACAGTGACAAGCCACTACCGTTGTTTGGCAAGCTTTTAATATATCTGTCAATGTACTTCTGTTTAAAGAAGTGCCTTGTCAAAGATGCTAGAAAATCTTCCTTTCAATTACTAGAAAAACAGGTGACTGTCTGGGATTCTGGTTCAAGTCATGATACCAGGACTAATTGATAATTACTCCTTTTTCCTTAAAGGTTTTCCTTGTGAACAGCATAATTGTCATCCTTTTCCAGGTAGTATCTGTATTGACCCTTGAGAGGGATGTCATCATTAAATTTTTTCCCCAGTCCTTTTTATTTTTATGACAGATTTCATTGTTTGCATTTGCACAGCTTTTAAAATACTGTTTGCACTAAAGCGCATATGATCTTGTAGTCGCTGGAATTGCTGTCAGTAATCTGTGGGCATCGCAAAACTGGTCCACATACCTGTAAGTCCCTAATTTCACCCAACAGGTCTTTAATTGAAGAGCAGTGCTTTCATCAGCCTGAGGGATTTGAATACCTCCTTAAAGAGTAGCATCTGCTCCTTACATCCTCGTCAAAGGAACGCAGTAGACATAAGATTTTCTCATAGACCCTGCAGGTTCCGAACTGCTTACTTTGTAGAAGTCAAGGATCTTTTGGACCCAAATCCCCGAGAGGTTATCAGAGGAATGACACTGCCCTTGATTGCCTTGGTCCTGCTCCTGGGCCTGTGCCAGTCGCTTCTCTTCTGGAGTGATTTCAGGTTGTTTTTTTTTTTCATTCTGGTAGATGTTTGACTGGATCACACACAACAAGGGCCTGTTTCTGAACAGCTACACCGAGATTGGGACCAGCCATCCTCACGCAATGGAGCTCCAGACACAGCACAACCACTTTGCCATGAACTGTATGGTAAGACGCTGTCAGAACAGACGTAGCTTGTGTGTGCGAGTATTTTAGCAGATGGGCGGTGTTTACACAGATGGTGTCCCAGTGCACTGCCAGGAGGCCGTGCGGGGCCTTTGGAGCTACCGATTCGGTGGTCGCAGCTGACCTCCAGGTGTGGGAAGTTCTCAGTGTTGGCGGTATCCACGGCGTCTTTTAAGTTTTAAACGAGCAAAAATGTGAAAACAAGCAAACAAACCGGTAGAACTCGAACTGGTTACTTGGCCGGTTCAACATGGATGATTTTGATGCTAGCTCGTGTGCTGTCCCTCCTAGGAGCCTACAGGGGCCCCAGAAAGGCTCCTCAGTGACCACGTGACTCTCCCGAGAGCCACTGTCGCTGTGCTGGCTGCCCTTCCCGAGGAAGAAGTAAGCCAGCCTGCCTGCTGTCTGCCTCGGGGCGCACTCCAGTTCTCCTGAAACGTGACGTTTCCTTCCAAGCTGAACTGAAGTAGTGGGGTCCGGACATGAGCCGTGCCTGGAGCTCCCTGGCTCTGTTTGGGGTTGATGTCCCCGATTCCCGTGGCCTGTCGTGACCAGATGGGGGGTTGTTATAGGACTATTAAGCAAAACAGCAGAAGACCAATGAATTTTAAGTAGCACTTTTGTTACATTTTTGGAGTTACTACAACGAAAATATTCTATATTCTATAGAATATATTCTATAGCATATATGTTCTATATTCTATATCATATATGTTCTTTCTATAGACAGTTAAGCTTCTAGAAATTTTCTTTTCAGGGACAAAGAGTTTTGGTTTGGACTTTGAGCCAGTCTGTGAGAATTAACCACTTGTGGACCTTATAGCTTTTTTTTTTTTTTTTTTTTTTTTTTTTTTTTTTT